AGCTCGGACCCTTGGGTCCCCCAAGAATGCCCTGGGGACAATGACAAAGGCTGAGCAAGTCACTGGCCTTCCATGCCCCCCAAGGGGACTGCGGTGCCAAACATGCCGCGGGTAGGCCTTCAGAGTCCTCAGTACCTGGCCCTGTGGGACTGCCTCCGGAAGAAGAGCTGGGATCACACCCTGGGCTCCATGTCCTACCTGGACCCCTCCCATGAGCCCAGGGTGTCTGTAACCACCACCCAGGGGGAGTGGGGCCGTAGAACCTTCCCAGAGGACATGTTAGGTCCTCAGACCACTGAGAATCCCACAAAGACAGGAGAGAGAAGACCCCTGCCCTCCCAGAGCCTCTGTGCTGGGGTGGCAACAGGGCGGGTCCCATATCGATGAACCCTCAGTGCTGAGGGAAACAAAGCATGGGGGGCCCAGTACGGTCTGGTGTCGGGAAGGCTTCCTGGGAGGAGGTGACTTGAGCTAACAAGGAGAGGCCTGTGCAGGTGGGGGACAGAGGGAGTGAGGGAACAGGACAAGCAAACCACATTAGGTCCACCGCCACATCGCCACGGCGGCAGAGGCCAGCCTGACAGCCCACCCCAGCGCTTTCGCAGACACTGCTCTGAGCCACCTGCCTGCTGTCCCTGGCCTCCCTGATGTCCATTCCTGTGTCCCAGAGCTCTCATCAGGAGTTGCCTGGTTTTGCCCTGGCCTGGTGGCTCTGTTGACTTGAGCACTGTCCCATACACCAAAAGGTTGCAGATTCAATTCCCAGTCAGGGCACATACCTAGGTTGTGGGTTCTCTCCCAGGTTGGGTGCCTACAGAAGGTATCACAGATGTTTCCCTCCCTCCCTCTCTCGCTCGGTCAGCTGCCATTGCAAGACCTTGGGAAGCTGGCCTGCCTTGCCCTCATTAAGGTCACTCACTGTCTTCCTGGGACACATGCCCACGCATTCAGTGCCATGGACCATCTATGCCCCTCTTCCCACCCCCGCCATGCATGGCCACTTGCTGTGGGGGAAACTGTCCTCAAACCTGGCCAGCTGGCAACCTGGCAGGGGACACCGCCATCTGTGCCCTCATGAGGATGCTCAGCACTGGGAATCCCGGTAAAAGGCGAGTGAGCCCACCCTGCAGGGGAGCTTCCAGGAGCTCACGCTAACCTGGGCCAAGGCAGAGGGGCTGCTCCTGGGGACACTGTCGCAGTGAAATGTGGCCAAGCAGAGGTTGTGGCGAAAACCAGCAGAAGCTGGGTGCCTGTGGACAGCATGGGCGAGTGAAGGACTCAGTCTGAGGGGCAGCAGAGAGAGCGAGGTGGGGACAGACTGGACAGAGCATGGGGCAGGCGCAGGGTCAGCAGCAGCAGCAGCAGACTCCGGAGAGGCCCGGTTCAACTCAGACAGCCAAGACCCACCATGGGCAGGGAGAGATGCCCACTCTGCAATGCTCAGGGAGAAAGCCGGGACCCTCCTCACTCAACGTAATCCCACTGCCAAGGCTTTAAAACCCTCTGCAGGCACCCATGTACCGGTGTTCACAAAAGGGTCCTGGAAAGCCACCCCCCCCAAACGGCAATTGCGGAGAAAGGGACTAAAGGACAACATCTAGTTTTCCCTTTATAAATCTCTGCAGACCTTTTCTTTTCTTTTCTTGCAACATTCGTCACCATTGCAACCTCAAAAAGTAATGAAGATTGTTTTCAATGCCAAAGGACTTTTTTTAAAAGGGCCGGGTCGGGCTCCCCAAATTTGGGAAACCACACTCACACCCCCCAACCGCCCGATGAGGAGGTGACAGCTGGAGGGAAGGCCTTTCTGGGCACAGGCCTTGTGGTCAGGGCGACCCGGCAGAGCGTAGACCTGGGAGGGTGTTGACTTTAAACCCCATGCCTTCGCGGGGAGCTTCCCCTCACTTTGTCGAGGGAACCAGTGCGCGCGCAGAGGAGTATAGACCTGGGCTGCGGAAATCAAGACATACTTCCCAGAAGCGGTGAGAAAAGTTCCGTGGGAGCAGGGCGGGAAAGCCAACGCCAGGCAGCCGCCGAAGGCAGGCCAGGGGACTGGGGCTGAGCAGCGTCCCGGAGCCCCGGGGAGAGCCTGACTCGGCCGGGAACCACTTCCGGGGCAGGCCCCGTCCCGCCGGACTCCCAGTCCCAGTGGCCCCCGCGCTGCCTCGCCCAGGGCTCCGAGGGCGGAGGGTGGTTCTTCCCCGCCCCACCTCCCCTACCGCCCTCCGGCCGGCGGTACACCCTCAGCCAGGCCTTTCCAGCGACTCTGGCCGCCCCGCGCCCGCTCTCGTCGCCTCCGAGAGCCGGACGGTCGCGCTGCACAGAACCACAGAACCACCGCCTAGGGCCCAGCCCAGGAGCTTCCGGTCGCACCAGGACCGCTTCCGGCGCCTCGCGCCCTCCCCTGCCTCCGGCGTGACCACGCTCTCCCCGCGACGTGCCACACCCGGGCGCAAAGGTGAGGTGGCGGCGGCGGCGGCGGCGGCGGGGGGGCGGGTCCCCTGTGTCTGCCTGTCCATGGCAACGCCCGCGCCAGGAAGCCAGTTGTGTAAAACAGGTTCTGTTGGCGAAGTTCTCTGGGAAACGGAGTCCTCGGCGCGTCCGAGAACCAGCCCGTAGAGTTGCAGAAACTCCATTCCTCGGGAAGGAGCGAGCACCTGCGCTCGAGACCCAGTGGCGCGCACGGCCGCTCCGGTACGTTGTCAGGGGCCTGCTGGAGGGCCGGACGCTAACTTCCTTGGCTCCGAATAGAGCACTTCAGAACCAGACGCGCCGACGCATGAGTGCCTTTGTGACCTCGAGTCCAGCCGTTTTGCGAGTGCCCGCAGCTGCCACCTGCCTCCATACTCCTCCTACGTGTGCATTTGACCGCGACGCCTCACGCCTGGTCATATGATCGGAGCAGCTACTTCCTCTGGGTGGTCTTCACCACCCACTCAACGTGCTGGACTGCCTCCGACAAGCCCCTCTCTGACACATGGCATTTTGAAATGATTGTCAGGAATGTCTCTGAAAGCTAGGACACCACCTCCCCAGAAGGCCTTCCCTGTCATGCTCTGTGACTCCAGCTAGGTTGAGGTCCCTCCAAAGTCGCCCGTCACAGCCTGTCACTGAATCTAACAGCCTCTGGACTAGCAGCTCTTGAGGCCAGTCTCCCCAACACCTGGCACATTTCACATGCTCGCAATTGTTGCAATTGACCAATCCAGTCACAGAGGTCCTAAGAAAAGCTCCCTCTCCTCTTGCCATCCCTCTAGCTGCTCATTCCAGGAAAGAAAGCTGCCTCATCCAACCTTTTTCCCAGTAAGGCTGGGCCCTCAAGATCCTCCCTGGCTCCCCGCCCTGTCATGTGTTGACAACCAGGCTCATCACTGCAGGTGTTAGCTGGGACAGAAGTGGCACAAATCCTTCCTCCCATCTTTATTTGTTGGTGTGTGTGTGTGTGTGTGTACAGTTGCACATACACATGCAGGCACCTATGTTGAAAGGAATCTGGGAGGCCATACATCCCTCTCTTACCACCTGTGACTCATCCAGCTGATGCACAAGAGCACCTTCCCTTGCTGGCTGACTGTGTTTTGATGGCCCATGTAGTGTGCCTGCAGTCAGGGAGACACCCCAGAGTGCCTGTTTTTAAAGTTTGGGGGACAGAAGAAGCTGGAATGAGGGGAGAAACAAAACTGTCCAGGGGACCCGTCCATTGCAACCAGAGCTGTCTAAAAGCGGATCCTGAGGTGACCACTGGGCCTTTATACTGGATCATTTTTCCCAAAGAGAGCTAGACCCGGAGACCATCAGTCACAAAAGGCACAGCCTTAGAGGCTGGACAGAGGCCAAGACAACCATGACGCAGAAACCCAGGGAAGAAAACATCTTCGAATCAATTTGAAGTGGACCCTCATATCAAAAGCCAGAGTGATCAACACGTGCCCATGGCCTTGAGCACAGGGACCAAGGAGACTTCTGACAATAGAAGCCACAGAAGCCAGAGAGAGTGAGGATGGCACAGAAAGCAAGGAAATGCCAAGAGCAGGAAAACGTCATCTAAAGTTGGGTAAGACGGGTCACCACAATGGTACAGGGAGTGAGGTCAGGGTTGACAAATGGGAGAGGCTGGTCCCAGCCCTGGCCCCTCACCACATGGAAGACCACCCTGGTGAGCTTTGCTGGGCCACTACAGTGCTACGTATGGGCCCTGCCAAACAAACCCTGGGCCACTGCAGGGTATGTGTCCGTCTTGGGCAGGCACTCCTGGGCCCCACAGCTGATCTGCCAGTCAGAGAACACCACCTTCTTGATCCCCAAGTCTGATCAGCTGTGTATCACTTAAAAAAAAGAAAAAAGAAAAAAAAGAGCCCTGGCTGGTGTGGGTCAGTGGATTGAGTGCCAGGCCTGTGAACCAAAAGGTCACTGGTTCGAGTCCCAGTCAGGGCACGTGCCTGGGTTGCCGACCAGGTCTGCAGTTCGGGGTGTGAGAGAGGCAACTAATACATATATCTCTCACATGTTCCTGTTTCTTTCCCTCTCTTTCTCCCTCCCTTCCCCTCTCTCTAAAAGTAAATAAATAAAATCTTAAAAAGAAAAAGAAAAAAGCCCCAGCGGGTGTGGCTAAGTGGATTGAATGCAATCCAACCAAAGGGTCGCCAGTTCAATTCTCACTCAGGGCACATGCCTGGGTTGCAGGCCGGGTCCTCAGTAGGGGGCACATGAGAGGCAACCAGACATTCATGTTTCTCTCTCTTCTTCCCTTCCCCTCTGTCTAAAAATAAATAAGTTAAATCTTTAAAAAAATATCAAAAAAAAAAAAAAAAAAGGCACAGGGCTTCAGATATGAGAACCATGGGAGAGAAGTGGCAGTGTCTGCCCTCCAGAAACAAAAGGTCTTTCAACAGCGCTCATCTGAGGTCAGGCCCAAGCCCCAAATCATGCAGGCCAGCTGCAGAGGTCTGTCCTTCAAGGCCTGTGTCCTTAGCCATTCGCCCACCCTCCACAGGCCCCACCTGAGGTGAGCACAGACTTCCTGCCAGCTCTCTCGTGGCCACCACCACAGGGCCTCCTGAGGATGCAGCTGCCCGAGCCTGTCGCCTCCTTTCCCGGTGCAGTGCCCGGAGGCGGGCAAGGGCACAGTGGACACTCCGGGACACTTTCAGGCTGCGCTCCCGGTTGGGATCGTTCTCCATAAGGATGCGCAGGCCAGCAGCAAAGTGGGACAGAGCCTGGGCCAGGCGCTGAGGGCTCAGTGCACCCACACCAGCTTCCTCAGTCCCCACACCCACCACAGCTTCACTGAGATCCAGTTCTGGCCTTTGGGAGGCCAGGCCTTTCCCTGCCTCCCAGGGCAGCCCACAGCTGTTGGCATCCCCATCCTCTGCGACCTGCGGGGTTCCGCAAGGTCGGGGCTCCACATGGGCCTGCAGCAGGCTGACGACATCGGCCTCCGCTGCATCCCCAAGGCCCATGTGGCTGGCCAGTGCCACAATGCTGCGGCGGAGCTGGGGCACGGTGTCAGGCTCCAAAGTGCCGGGAGGCACGCACTCAGGCCAGAGCTTCCTCCAGGCACTGTTCATAGTGGCGGGCTGCAGCTCTGCCCAGGCCTGGGCAATGTTGTCTACTGCGGCCATGACGGTATAGCTGCGCCAGAACTCCCGCATGGAAGGCCGGTCTCTACCAGCCTTCTTCTGGACCAGCTGGCTAAGTGTGCGGCGCAGGTAGTGGGCCTTAAAGGCAGCAATGATGCCCTGGTTCATGGGTTGGATCAGGGTGGATGTGTTCTTGGGCAGGAACTCAACGCGCACATGGGCAGAGAGACTACCCAGGTGAGCAGGGTGGCAGGGTGCACTGTCCAAGAGCAGCAGGGCACGGTGCGGGAGGCCGTGGCTGGTGCAGTACCTCTCCACAGCAGGGCAGAAGCAGCCAGTAAACCACTCCTGAAAGATGCTGGGTGTCAGCCAGTCATTGCGGTTGGAGCGCCAGACCACTGGCAAGCTGGCCTTAGAGCAACCCTTGAGGGCGCGTGGGTTTTCCGAGGGGTACACTAGCAGGGGCTTCAGCTTGAAGTCGCCAGCTGCATTGGCGCCCAGCAGCAGCGTCAGGTGGTCCTTGGGGGCCTTGGGCCCGGGCCCAGGCCCAGCTGCCCCTTCCAGAGCCAGCAGCATGCGATCAGGCAGCCTCTTCCAGAAAAGGCCCGTCTCATCCACGTTGAAGACTTGGCGCGGTGAGTAGCGGCCCTCCTCCAGAATGGCACGCAGCAATGGGGGATAGCAGGCAGCGGCCTGGGCATCAGCCACAGCCGGCTCGTCCGTCAGCAGTACATTGTGACGTGCCTTGAAACGTGCAAACCAGCCATTGCTGGCCCCGAAGGTCTCAGCCTGGGCACCATCGCCCTGCTCGTGCTGCAGCTGTGCAAAGAGCTGCCGCGCCTTGTCCTGGATGAGCAGTGTGCTGACAGGCAGGTTGTGCCGTTTCTGCTCCTCAATCCATAGGCTCAGCAGGCGTTCCATATGACCCATCACCACACCCCGGCAGCGGGTCAGCTGCTTGGCACTGACGGGCGTAGCTGCCTGAGAATTAGCCCAGATCTTGTCCTTGTTGACACGGATTGAGGCAACAGTGGAGGTGGCCAGCCCTAGAGCCCGGGCGATCTGCGTCAGCTTTTCACCTTCCTCAAATCGCCGAAGCACCTCCAATTTCACATGCAAGGTGATGGACTTCCGGTCCCGCTTGGCACTGTGGCGAAGGCCAATCCCACCAAGGGGTGCCTTCCCCGACACCTGAAGGTGGGGAGTTGTCTTCATTCCACCTCCTCGCACCACGCACCTTGATGAGCTCTGTACCCCTTGCCCCTCCACAGTAGCTACCACTGTGCCCACAATGGTGGCCTCTTGGCCTCTCTGTAAGAGGGGGATATATAAGCATTAATATGTGAGCACATGGGAGTTCCAACCACTACCCAGCCTTCCCATGCTCTGACACAGAGCACTGAACCCTGCTCAGAGGCAAGCCCGGCCTTTCCCTTCCGACTGCTAAAAGCATTGCACACTCCCATCCCAGCATTCTTTGTTTCTAGAAGTCTGTGGTGTCAGTTAGTTTTAGATCACGAGATCAAAATACAGCTGAGACTTCACTCTCTTCCCTCCCTGCCCCCACAAACCTCCCAAGAGCATCTAGAAATCCTGACTCCCCTCCCTGACACGGGTGAGCAGATGAGCTACCCATCTCCACGTTTCTCACTCACAAACATCACTGTCAGAGGGGAAGGCGGAATAAGGATGTCTCCTGAAGACATCCTCATCCTAATCCCAGGAGCCTATGAGTAAATTACCTTATATGGCAAAAGACACATTGCGGATTGTGATTAGGTTAATCCTGACTGGGGGATATTATCCTGGGTTATCAGAATGGACTCTAAAAGTAATCACAGGGGTCCTTGTAAGAACAGACAGATTTCACTCAGAAGGCAGTGTGAACACGGACGCCTAAAGCCTATGGAAGGAACCAGCTCTACCAACACCTTGGTTTCAGCCCGTGGAAAACCACTTCAGAGTGCTGACGTCCAAGACTCTAAGATAATAAATCTGTGTTGCTTTAAAGCACTACATTTGCAGTGATATGCAACAGCAAGCATAGGAAACTCTCACAGAAGGGGACCTCCCTAACTCGGGCCACTACTGTGGAGTCCCTGGAGATAGGGGAGACACGTGGTTCTCCACACAGCAGCCAGAATGAGTCAGTAAGAATTAAGTCAGATCCAGTCGCCCTCTGCTCAGAGCCCTTTCTGCCTCCCACCTCTCCCTGAGTAAAAGCCACATTCTCACCTTCCTTAGGCCTCCTCCTCTCCTTTGCTAACTCCTGACTCGGGCCTTTGCTTCTGTTTTCTTTCGCCCAGAGCTGGGGCTCTTACCTCTTATCTATACAGCCCGTTCCCTCTCCTCCTGCAGATCTCTGCTTGAAAGTACCCTCCACGCCTACGTTTTATTGTGGTCCGTCATATGTTGCCTGAGGGCAGGAGCCCTGTCTGCAGAGCTCTACTGTGTCCCCAAACCCAGGAAGAGCGCCTGGCCTTTAGCAGGCATCCTGTGGTCGCTTGCTGAGTAAATTATTACATTTCGTACAGCGGGGGAACCTGCTTCTTGCCTAGTCCCTTTTGAGTTTCGAACCCTGTAAAAGTAGCACCTGACCAAAACAGTACAGTTGTTTTTGAAGGAATGCCATGTGAATAGGAGGGACAAATGGCCTACGGGTCTCTGTTTTTGGAGTGGCTCTGACACTTGGAACGAGTACCCTCAGCGCTGCAAGTGCCTTAAAACCAGGTAGCACAGCTCACGGGGCCCTCGAGCCAGGGACGCAGAGCAAGGAGGGTGGGCATGCGTGGAATAAGGCCCCGAGTTCCACACCACTAGCGTCCACCCTTCTCTCCCCGACAACCATATCTTTGCCTACTCAGTCACAATTTTAACTTAGTTCGCCCACTGATCCTTTTACTCCCTCGCTCCCACTCTGCAAAGACAGTTCCCGGACCCGCCGCCCGCGAGGGCCCGCCAACCTCCGTCTCTCGACACTACACGTCCCAGAAGGCCGCGGGGGCTGTCGAATACTCCCATTGGCCCAGTGGCGCGCGTCCCGGGCTGCGCGCGCAGCGGTCTCTCCGTCCCCGCCTCCCCACCGGTCGGAGCCGAGAGAAAGGCTACCCCCACCCCCGGAAGCTGGCCTGCGCGCGGCCGACCGCCCTCACCTCAGGACAGCGACGCGGGCCGGCAGCTTCAGTTGGGCCGGTGGCACTGCGTCCCTTCCCCATGTCCTTCTTTCACAGCACCTTTCCCCGGCGGCGGCCGAGCCCAGCCTCCATCTTGTCAGCGGAGGCGGGAAGTTGCCGCGTGGGGCGCGCCTCTGACGTCGCTCTGGGCACTCGGGCTGCCGGGAAATGTAGTTCGGGGATGAGGCCAGTACGTGCAGAGTCCAGGCAGGGACGCTCCGGGCTGTCTCCACTTAATTTCTCGTTCGCACCTCGGCCGCCGCCTACTTTCTGTCAGTGTTTCCATCATCCTCCTTACCCGTGGCCCTTCCTGGCTCTGTCACACTGTTCTCTCTTTTTCTATGTCCGTCCCCCGTCCCGGAGAACTGGTTCCCTTCAGGCTGTCAACGTAATTGTCCAAAAAGGTAAAATCAGGCGCGCTCTCCCTCTCAGGAGCACTCCTGTGCCTCCCCCCAATTTCCCCCCAGGCCCCTTCCCATTCCTAAGCTCCAAAGACTCCCCTTTTGCTTTTGTAACTTGTTTCCTGAGCCTAAGCAGCCCAGCTGGCTCACTTCAACTGCCTCTGTGCCTTTCTACGTAAACTTTCTCTTACTTTTTTTTTTTTTTAAGGTAAAAGCAAACTCTAAGTTTGACTTAATTCACGAAAGGAACTAGGAGGATGACAGAGGTGGTTCCAAGATTTTCTAAAGGATAGTGAGCAGTTGTAGCCCATCAACCTTTACAACTTAGCATCTACGTTCACAGTATCTGGACCCTGATCAAAGTAGCTGAAAAGAGTGGCTCCGCTTAGGGCGTCGGGGCTCCTAGTCATCTTTGGGTCTCACTGCCAGGGTTTGGGTATGTTTTCCCGACAAGTCTCCCTACAGCTCTTTCTGGCTCTCTTCTTGCTGTCACCTTCTCTCAGTCTTTGAAAGCGCTCACTCCATCTTACTGCATCTCTGATTTTTGTCTCCTTGTTCCCTTCTGCCTGTGTATTTCTGTATCCTTGTCTGTTCCTGGATCTCGACGGCTGCACTTCTGGTCTCCGTGAATCTACTCTCCTCTCTCTCCGTTCACCTCCACCCCTTCCTCGTCTCCGTCCCGGTTGCTAACTGTTCTGGCACCTCTTTCCCCGGGCGCCACTCCCTGACCCGCTGGAGCCTTATCACAGTCTCTAGCTCTCAGAGAGTAGAGACCGCTCTCTGATTTTTCTTTCCGTCCGTTCACCTACCTACGGGAGCGTCTCCCTGCCCCTGTACCAGTCGCTCCCCTGCCCCCACCCTCTCCTCCCCTCCACCCCGCATCTTTTACCCTAGTCACTGCCGCACGCCCTCATCCCTCTCCCCTGCGCTTTTCCGACGCCCGCCAGGACCCCGGGTTGCCGTGGACACCAACGAGTGGGCCCGACCGGTTACCGTGGGCCCGCCTACCGCCCAACGAACGTCGTCGCAAAGCCCCCGCGCGCACCGAGGGCCTGGCCGACTACAACTCCCAGAAAGCAGCGGGCCGAGCTTCCGCTCATTCCTGTCGGCGGGGGTGTGGAGGCAGCGCGCCGCCGTCCAGCTCCGCAGGCGGTTTCCATGGAGACCCGGGATGGCCAAGGACGGCGATTGGTGCAGAACTCTGCTAATCCCCTCGAAAAGCCCGTAGAGGCTCGAGGGAAAGGTGGTGGGAGGTGTGCGCGGTTGGGAAGGCGCGGCTGGTCGCCGTTGCCCAGGAGAAGCTTGCGCACGTCGCTGGGAGCTTCGATACCTGGATCAGAGGCGGGGAACGCGAAATGAGGCGGCCGGGAGTGTGACCTGATCGTTGGGAACAACGCTCTCCCAGGGAACAGGGTGGAAACAGGCGAGGTGGGAGAAGGGCACGGAGGCGCCCGGGCTGCTGCGTAGAGCATTCTGGGAGACATAGTCCGGCTGGGGAGGGGAAGCCGGCGAGTTTCCGTGCTGCGGAGCGCGAGAGCGGACCGCTGGGAGCGGAGGTGAGGGCGGGTCCTCTCCCCGCGGGAGGTTTGGGCGGGGACCGGGGTGGCGGCTGCGGACTCGTGGATTCTGGCTGCCCTGCGGGTCCCGGAATACAGGGAAGGGACCTGGGCAATCCGTGCAGGCGGGCCCAGCGCTGTCGCCTGAGACCGGTCAGTCACTGAGCATTGCCAAGGCGACACTCTGGAAGCCCCGCCCCCGGTTGCCATGGCGGCCCCAGGACCTAACGAGCTCCTTAGAGCGGAAGTTGCCTGTGAAAACTTCTGGTAAATGTAGTTCGGGAACCTCCGCGGGGACCCGCTAGCTTGGCGATGGCCCAACTTTCTCCCAGACTTTTCGGGTTGACCTAGAACCTTGAGGAGCGGAGGGTTGGCTCAAGGAATTTGGCGGCTCTCGAAATGGAATCCACCCCTTAATAAACAGATGCCTTCACAAAGCCTGAGTCTTAAAGCTTCAGAAGGAGTAGGGGAGTGTGGAGAGGGTGGTGGTCGTCCATATTACCAGTTAAGGGAATTGAGGTTCACAGAGACACAGCCACCTGCCAAGGTTACGTGGCAAATAGGCGAGACGAGAACCTCCGACCTTTATCGCAGTCTTCAGGTCCATCGGTCGCAGGGCCTTTGCAGGTTCCTGGAGGCTCCCCCATCGCCTTCTAGGTCTACCTAAGTCAGAAACCTGAGGAGACGATGGGACATTGCATGGTGTGATACACAGGGCTCAGAGGATGGGGCTGAATGGGGAGAGGATGCCACCTGGGTGTTGAACAACACAGGTGACTGGACAGGTGGAGGGAGGCTGCCCTGTGGAACCAAGATGGCAGGGGAGTGGTCTGAGGCTGGGTGGGCGAGTGGATGGTGCGAGAACGGGCTGGCATGGGGGCGAGTCGTGGTGCTGATGCACAGGTGGGGGGTGTTGCAGTTGTCATTCACCTGGTAGAGCTACAGGGTGGGGGTAAGGTGGTACACATAGAAAGGCAGGATTTAGGGGAGAGAAGAGTGATTTCTGGGCCTGAGAAGACCAGGGACAGGTGGCTCACCCAGGGCTTACCGGCCCCACGGGTTGCTGGCATATGATCGCCTCTCTGTGCCTAAGTGTCCTCAGCTGCCTTCCCCCCTGGCAGGTCTGAGGGTGGGACAGCACAGCATAGAGCAGCCACTCAGTAAGCACTCGCCCCGCTGTCACTGCAGCAGCCTTGTCCTGTTCGTCCCCCAGGGCCAGGCACTGGCCTCAGAGCCCGGGACGTCTTTCGGATGAGGCCTGCAGCACGGGGCTCCCCAGGGCACGCAGCCCTGAAAGACAGGAGACCCGGCGTGGTGAAGTGGGAGGACTCGGAGGACTCCGAGGAGGAGGCCGCCCCATGGGATCCCGGCCCAGAGGCTGCACGCCAGTGTTTCTGGCACTTCCGCTACGAGGAGGCAGCAGGGCCCCGAGAGGCCCTGGCCCGGCTCCGCAAGCTGTGCCGCCAGTGGCTGCGGCCCGAGGTGCACTCCAAGGAGCAGATGCTGGAGCTGCTGGTGCTGGAGCAGTTCCTGGGCTCACTGCCCGCTGAGCTCCAGGCCCGCGTGCGGGGGCAGCAGCCAGGCAGCCCCGAGGAGGCTGTGGCCCTGGTTGAGGAGCTGCGTCAGGAGCCGGGAGGACCCCGGAGATGGGTGAGTCCGTGGCAGAGATCAGGGTTAACCTGGGGGATGCCATGCTCGGCTCGACGCCTGCCCCTTGTGGTTTGGAAGTGGTCACCTCCAGCAGACCCTGTGCAAGGGTCGAGGACACGGGGAGAGATGCAGGGTGGGTGTCAACACAGGACAGCAAGTGGTTCCTTCACCCCCTGCTCATTCCCCTGGGGGTTGGGGTCCCTGGAGGACCTAGTCAGTCAGGACCCCTGGAGTCCTGCAATGGGGTCCAGCCCAACTGCCTGCCTGGGCCCCTGATGGAGAGGGGGCCCCTCCCCAGGTCACAGTCCAGGTGCAGGGCCAGGAGGTGCTATCAGAGAAGATGGAGCCCTCCGACTTCCAGGCCCTCCCTCAAACCAAGCCTAGGATTACAGAACCTGGGCCTGATACAACCCCCGGGGCCATGCAGAGGTCGCCGCTGAGCCTCCAGGTGAAAGAGGAGCCCAAGGTTACAGAGGACGCAGGTGAGGGCAGGCAAGGTAGGCAGGGCCCAAGGCCTGATTGGATGGATCGCGGGAGCCTGGCCTGAGCAGCCCGAAGCGCACTGGGCCAGTCACCCAGTGGACGGAGCCGTTCCCACGCATGGGGGCCTCGTATCCCCCCCAGCCAGTGGCCCTCGCGACCCCCTCGCATGCCGAGCCTGAGTGTCACAGCTGTTTCCACATGTGGGAGGCATGTGGGATCCACTCCCCAAGGAGATCTATTGGGGGGTGTCAGCCAGTCATCTGGGTGCTGACAGTAGGCTGGGGTATAGGTGGGTGCAGCTGAGGGAGGACCCCAAAGTACTGGGTGCCTGCCCCTCCCTTCTACACCCGCAGGCGGGTGCTACAGCTGACCACCCATCGCACCCCTCTTGTGTGGACCCTCACGCAGTGCCCCTCTTGCCCTCGCTGTCCGTCTGCCCAGGGCTCGTGCAGGCCTGCAGGGCACAGACCTGCGCCGCCACCTCCTGCTGCAGCTCCCGCGGGGCCTTCAGGGGGCCTTGCGTTGCTCCACCCCGGAGCTGGGCCCTTAGAGCTACCCGGCCATTCCCAGCCCCGAGCCGGCACCCAGCTCTCACCCTACCTGCAGCCCGGCACCTGGCACACCACCGAGGAGGGCAGGGGGTGGGGACAACCTTGGGCTGCCTGACCCTACCCTTCCTCTCCAGAATTTCTGGATTCTGGGCCTCTAGCCAGCCCCCAGGAGGCCACTTCCACCCTCCTGCTTGCGGAGGCCCAGGTGAGCCCCACACAAGCCAGGGGCCTCTGTGGGTGGGGGTCCGGTTGGCCCCTCCCTGAGCCTAGCAGGGCACAGACGAGCGGTGACCATTGTGGTTTCAGGGCTGTGGGATGGTGCTGGACCAGGCCTCCCCTCACAGCAGGACTAGGCACAGAGAGCCCTCGTGGATGGAACTCCCTGGGGCCCTATGGCAAGAAGCAGCTGGGGGCATCTTCTCCCCTGGTAAGTAAGATGCGCGTGGTGGAGGTGGGCCTTCTGCAGACGGGGGCACGCCTGCCTGTCACACACCTAGAACTGCTCCCCCATTTCCTGGACCATGCCTGTGGTTGTCCATTTTCAGCGTCTCCTGCCCTCGAAAGTCAAGCTTTCCACTGACCCCCGTCCCTCCAGCTACTGCTCCACACCACGTCCCAGGACTGGAGTCTGTGTTCCCCAAACCCACACCTCCCAGCTCTGACATCTCGGTGGCCCCTAGACTCCGGTTGTCAGCATGGTGAGGGGGGCAGGGTCAGGAATGACAAGAAGGGCAGGTCAGCAGACAGAGCGGGTGGACAGGAAGGGCCGTGGCAGTGGGGATCAGGCAGGACCGCGGGCTTCTGACCGATCACGCAGGTGCTCACTGGGGCCACTCGGTCCTAGCTAGGACATTGTCCAGGCTCCTGATCTCTCTTCCTCCCTATCCCCTGGACCCCTCCTTCTTGGTTCACTCTTTTGTTCTAGTGGACATTTCTGGGACACACTTGTCTAACACTCCACATTAGACTGAAGTTTGGCTACACAAATAATTCTTTTTATTAACTTAGTCACAAACCTTTTTCTATGACATTGTTAGTGAGCCTTTTCCATTTGAAAAGCACATCTCAGTCATGGGAAAATGGCTGGAATGGTTTCTTTGATTTCCTTCTCCATTTTTTTTTTGTTTGTTTGTTTTAAAGATTTTATTTATCTTTAGAGATGGGGAGAGAGGGAGAGAAACATCACTGTCTGGTTGTGGCCCCGGTCCCACTGCGGGGCCTGGCCCACAACCCAGGCCTGTGTCCTGACTGGGAATCGAACCAGTGACCATTTGGTTTGCAGGCTGCACTCAGTCCACTGAACCACACCAGCCAGGGCTCTATTGTTTTGTTCTGGTTTCTGGAATACCTGTTCCTTGGCTGTAGGCCTCTGGGACAGGTTCTCCAATGTTCTCACTCCAATCTTCCCTTTCTTTGTGTTCTGCTGTCCAAAAAGTTCTTCAGTTATGTCTTTCAGGTCTTGTGTTGTGACATTGATTATCTGCTAAGAGTTTTAATTTCCACACGTGTTTCATTCCCTGAACATTCATTTTTTTATAGCCACTTCCTGTTGTTCTTACAGTTGTCTTATTTCTCTAAGAATAGCAGTAACTTATTTCTTAAGTCTTCTTCTCCCATAGTGGTTGTCTGCGTATGTGTAAGACAAGGGACCACCGCTCTTGACGGCTCTTAGCAAGTGGATGAAGGGGTGGAAAGGATGTGGGGGATCACTCCCCAACGAGACCCACATCTTGGGGGACGAGAGCAGGTGTGGGGAGTGTCACTGGATGCCAGTGAAGGATCTGTGCAGCATTCTTGCTGGGCCATTTGGGGCAGCCCGTGATGTGATCCTCCAGGTCTTACCCGAGTCCTCTCCTGGGAAAAAGGCTGGTGTCTCAACACCAGTGTGATTTCACTTAATCCCTCACCTTCCTCAGTATGATCTCCCGCCTCACCCAGCCTTTTTGCCAAGATGGGAAGAGAGACCCAGAGTCCGAGCTACAGCAGTGCCCACTGTTTGCTCAGCACTCTGCAGAGCCCAGGGCTGCTGTGCGCCCAGCTTCTGCTTCTAAAACAGCTTGTACCTGGTACCTCAAACCACTGAATGTTTTGAATCCCCTCTAGGGTAAAACATATTGATACTTGTTTTGTTTCCCCACTGATTGAATATTCACCTTCTCCAGTCTGCTACATAGTCACCTACTCACCTGCTTTCCAGAGTAGAAACTCTCAGTGGTCTGTTTCCTTTTCTCATCTTTGGGGATGTTATGCCTTTAAAAAAAAATTATTATCATTTTACTCTCGTTTCCAGATGGAATAAATTTAAATAGATGGCATTGTTTCCCAGAAGTCCCCATTTGCTATGTTATCAGTAAGGATCGAAACTCATTCTATGTCTATAATGTTCCTGTTTCATGGATGCTGGTCCCTCTTTTGAGGATTTGGAAATAGCTTCCTTCCCAGACTGGTTAGCTCGCTCAGCTTCCTCGGCTGAATTCTCCCACTGGTTGCACTGTTGATAGACTGCTTGTCAGAGCTCTAGGAGTTTGTTGCATCATTCTAGGTGAGGGGCTGCTACAGGCTCCATCCAAACCCCAAAGTGAAGGTTCATCTGGGCCCCAGGCCATTCAAGGAAGATACTTCTGCAGCCCAACCGAAAGCAAACAGGTCATTTCTGCCCAGGTCTGTGGGTGGACTGGGCTGTTGCTGTCCTTATCCTCAGTCCCCAGCTTGAGTCCCTGGGCTGTAAAGCTCACTGTAACAGGCTCCAGATCCCTGAACCTCACCAGCTGGCCCGTCTTGCTTTGGAGTTGCCCAAGGTATTTTTGATTGTATTCTCCGTGTCAGAGCTGAAAGCAGGATCTGGCACATGCCCCTTCTGGCTGTTTAGTTTTCAGCTGCCAGCCAGGCCCAGCCTGCGCTGTATGGCTGACCACTCCCTCCAGCTTGGGACCTCTCTTAGCTCACAACCCCAGTCTTCCTCCAGCCACACTGGCAGCATACGTTGGGTTCCCTGGAGGATCCCTTCTGTGCAGCCCCGTTCTCTCCCCAGGCCGCACATGCCGTAGACACCGGCAGCTCCCATCTTCAGGGCCCTCAGCCACCTCAGTCTCCCCATCAGGTCTCTTGGCTGCTCCCCTCACTCCTCAATTGCATATTTCCTATGTAGCCAGTGTTTTCATCCTGAGAGTATTCTGAAAAACTAATGTGCCCACATGTTGGAAAACTCAAAAGGCACGAGGGAATACAGCGAACGCTCCTCCCCACCGGTCACACCGTCCTGCTCCTAGCAGCCAGCATTAGTTTCTTTGAGTCCTTCCAGAAAAATCATGTGCATACAAGAAAAAACACTGAAATGCATAGTCATCTCCCTCCTTTACAACACCCTGCTCCATACTTGCCATCTTCTGTGCAGTGAGTGCTGTCTTTGGGATGCTTTTCAGTGAGGAGCTGAGAAACCTCGTACATAGGTCAAGTCACAGAGGGGAATGCAATTGCTGGGCAGCTACCTAGAAGTATTGCTGGATCCAAGTCTGGGAAATTTGCCATTTTGATGTATCTTGCCACACTGGCTTCCCATTTATGTTGACCAGCAATGCTGCACACAAATACCTGGGTCCCTGTCATGAGTGGGGAGAAAAGGTGAGTACACCTCTTAAGTACAGTGTTCTTACTGGGAAGGGAGTAAGCATATTTTATTGGATTTAAACATTAGTGATATACCTTTTCCTGTCCGCATCCTTTGCCCATGTTGGTCAGGTAGTTAGTCTTTCCCTACTGCTTTATTGGAATTTTTTTTAAAGATTTTATTTATTTTTTAGGGAAACGGGGAGGGAGGGAGAGAGGGAAAGAAACAATGTGTGGTTGCCTCTCATGGTGCCCCCTACTGGGGACCTGGCTCACAGTGCAGCCTGTGCCCTGAATGGGAATCCAACACGCGACCCTTAGACTTGCAGGCCAGCGCTCAGTCCACTGAGCCGCCACACCAGCCGGGGTGGAATTCTTATACGGTTAATTAGCACCTTGCCTCTGGAGTTTCTTGGTTTGTCTTTTTTTTTTTTCTTTCTTTTTTTTTTTTTTTTTTTTTTGACTCAAGTTGTTTATATTTGCAGAAGTTACTTCCTTTGATGTAATTTATCTGCCTTTTGATAACTTACCGATTTTTCTGCCACCCACTGAAGCCCTTGACACTGTGGCCTTGATTTGACTTCCTGTGGGCTTCCTTTTCTGCCCTGCTTCTCAGTGGCCTTTGCTTGTACCTTCTCCATCACCCAGCATCTAAGGCGGAGCTCAGAGCATGGCTAGAGGCCACGGACACCCCTCCATCCCACCCCGTTTGGTCTCGTGCAGGCCCAGGGCTCCATATGCCATGCATATGCCACAGAACCCACGTTCCTGTTTCCCTGAAGACTGAGTCCTTGACTCTTGTGTCCCATATGTGCACATACACGCTGTCCCTGGGACTGCCCCGTGGGCACTGAGCAAGGCCCCTCAGACCCACCCACTTCTGTGCATTTGTGGGAACCATCCTCAACCTGGATGGTACAAGGGCCGCCTTTGCACACAGCCCTTCTAGAAAAGTGATCTTTTGCAAATTGAAGTGAGTCTTGGAAAGCCTGTACAAAGCTTCTCAGTCTTCCTCCTCATGCAAGATTTGTCCCTTTGTCACCTCCTGGGGATGCCTGCAGATGGAGGCTCTGCCCCTCTGCCTGCCTCCTTGGTGCGTGTCCGGAGCCTCCAGCTCACACTGTTTAGCTGGGGCTGGAGTGCTGGGGCACAGTGGGTTCTGTCACAAAGGAGTGGGTCCCTCTGTGCAATGCAGGGTTTGTGCTCCAGACGGACAGTGTCTCTGCCGGCCCAGACACTGTGAACCCCCACCTCCACTGGGACCTCGGCATGGCTGGCCTCACGGGCCAACTCCAGTCACCCTCACAAGAAGGTGGCTTCTCACATGCGCTCGTGCTCCCCAGCGACCCGGGAGGTGAGCAGGATCCCACGGACGAGGATCCCCGCCAGGGTGCGGGCCAAATAATGACCACTGTCCGCTGGCCAGCCCCCAGGGGTCGGAGCCGAGGCCGTCCCAGCACAGGCGCCGGGGCAGTGCGAGGTGGCCGTTGCGACGTGTGTGGGAAGGTGTTCAGCCAACGCAGCAATCTGCTGCGGCACCAAAAGATACACACGGGAGAACGGCCGTTTGTGTGCAGTGAGTGCGGCCGCAGCTTCAGCCGCAGCTCACACCTGCTGCGCCATCAACTCACGCACACAGAGGAGCGCCCGTTTGTCTGCAGCGACTGCGGCCAGGGGTTTGTGCGCAGTGCACGCCTGGAGGAGCACCGGCGTGTGCACACGGGCGAGCAGCCCTTCCACTGCGCCGACTGTGGCCAAAGCTTCCGGCAGCGCTCCAACCTGCTGCAGCACCGGCGCATCCACGGCGACCCTCCGGGTCCCGGCTCGGGGCCGCCCACGCCTCCCAGTGCACCCGAGCCCCCTGGCCCCTTCCCGTGCAGCGAGTGCCGCGAGAGCTTCGCGCGGCGCGCCGCGCTGCTGGAGCACCAGGCCGTGCACACGGGCGATAAATCCTTCAGCTGCGTGGAGTGCGGAGAGCGCTTCGGCCGCCGCTCGGTGCTGCTGCAGCACCGGCGGGTGCACAGCGGAGAGCGGCCCTTCGCCTGCGCCGAGTGCGGCCAGAGCTTCCGGCAGCGCTCCAACCTCACGCAGCACCGGCGCATCCACACGGGCGAGCGGCCCTTCGCCTGCGCCGAGTGCGGTAAGGCCTTTCGCCAGCGGCCCACGCTCACGCAGCACCTGCGCGTGCACACCGGCGAGAAGCCCTTCGCCTGCCCTGAGTGCGGGCAGCGCTTCAGCCAGCGTCTCAAGCTCACGCGCCACCAGCGGACGCACACTGGCGAGAAGCCCTACCATTGCGGTGAGTGCGGCCTGGGATTCACGCAGGTTTCGCGGCTCACGGAGCACCAGCGCATCCACACGGGCGAGCGGCCCTTCGCCTGCCCCGAGTGCGGCCAGAGCTTTCGACAGCATTCCAACCTCACGCAGCACCGGCGCATCCACACGGGGGAGCGACCCTACGCCTGCCCGGAGTGTGGCAAGGCCTTCCGCCAGCGGCCCACGCTCACGCAGCACCTACGTACCCACCGGCACGAAAAGCCCTTCTCCTGCCAGGACTGTGGCCGGCGCTTCCACCAGAGCACCAAGCTCATCCAGCATCAGCGCGTCCACAGTGCTGAGTAGCGAGCACCCACTGACCTCCTCCGTGTCCACCTCAGCCCTCTGTGTGTAGGGGGACACGGGGGAACAGAAACACCTACCTCACAGGGTTGTTGTGAGGCCTACCACCGCAGAGGTACAAGCAGGCTGGCCCAGGGCCTAATCCCCCAGTTGGTGCTTAATAAACCGTAGAAGTAACCTGGGTATGGATCTCAAACGCACTCGATGCCAGTCCCCGCCTGCATGGGTCCCTCTCCAACAACCCCGCACATCCACCACTTGCACGGCAACCTCGTGGTTCCTGAGAGCCCTGGCCTCCTGCAGAAGTGGCTCCTAGCAGCAACTGCCCATGTCTGTGAGGTGCCCCTCACTATCCTTGTTCCGTGACACGTCGGTGGGTCAAGCCAATTGGCAGGGGAGGACCTGGACTGGCCCAGTTCTCATCCAGCCAAGATCGTTGGATGCAACAGGGGCAGCAAACTGGTGCCCAGCAGACCAGATGTGGCCTGGGATGTGTAAAACTAATCCTGGGAAGGCGTTCCTTAGTTGTAAAAAGCTGGAAGGTTTCATCTGAAAATACTCATTCTTCAAGGACTTTTCCTCCATTCCCACGTTTTCCACCTGCAAGTACCCCTTCCGGTGGGATTCCCACCAGTCTGGGAACGGAGGTCAGGCAGGCCCAGGGCCAGCTCCCCGGCCCTCTAGTGATCATGCCCATACCATGGGCTGCCTTCTCCTCCCACCCGGAACCCACGCAAGGCCACCAAGGGCTCCCCCACACTGGGAAGTCTCCATCCAGAGTGTTTTCAGTGGCAAGTCACGGGAAACAGATCCTGCCTACGTGGGTTCAGCGTCCTGAAGCTGTGAAGGGCGGCCCCTTTCCCATGCCACTGCCTCTTTTGCACTATCTTCTCTTTCCATCCCATTGCCCAGAACCGACACAGACCCCAACCCTGGGAGCTAGAAACACAGGGGGGACAACAGTGCCAGCAAATAACCTTCATGCAGCAGGAGGCTTGGGACCTAACTCCACCACAGGCCAGCGTCAGCCTTTGGCCTGGCAGTTCCAGGAACAGCATTTTGAGGCCTATGTGTCTAGGCTTCTTCCAGACGTGCAGGTGGACTTTTCCCCTGTGGCTCTGAGTCACCCTGACACCCCACACCAGGGGTCCCCAATCCCCGGGCTGCAGATTGGTACCCGTCCATGGCCTGTTCGGAGTGGGGTCACACACGGGGTGAGCACCGGGCAAGCAAGCAAAGCTCAGCTAACAGGGCCACCTGAGCTCCACCTCCTGTCTCCCTGCCGCTCCCTGTGGGAAAACTGCCTTCCACGAAACCAGTCCCTGGTGCCAAGAAACTTGGGGACTGCTGCCTCACAAGACTAGTGCCCCAGCATCAGGGAAAGAAGACAAGCCAGCCTGGGCTGGAGGCTTGTGACTGCCACACTGGAAAAGGCATGCCCCCTGCCCCAACCTCCCACCGCCTCTCCATTTCTCCTCCCCACTCCTCAGCCAGGACCGGCGCCACTCAGGCATCCTCTGCATCTGGCAAAATCAGCAGCTCCCCAGGCAGGGGCACTCCTGAGTGGCACAGTCAGGGAGGGGAGTGTCCTCTGGGACTTGTAACAAAACTCACTGTTCTCTCACTGGCCACAAAGGGGACTCTGAGGACCCAGGTCTGAGGTCTGCAGAATTTGGAGAGCAGGTAGTCTGCGGGCCCCTGGGCAGAGGCTGGGAGAGTCAGGTCACAGAAGGCGCTGAACTTAGGTAGCCAATGGTCTCAGGTTGAAGGAACATTGCTAGAACTTTAAAAATCCTCTAACGCTTTTTTTTAAGCCTGAGTGACTTTTATAATAAGCAACAAACAAGAAATCTCTCGTGTTTTGGTCATCTTAGTGCAGTGAACAACATAAAGGGAAATCTGTACAGATACAACTATATAAACACATGAACTTTCACACAGAAAACACTACAACATGAAAAGGCCAGGGCCCCAAACTGGAAGCCTTGAGAAGCGCATAGTCCCACCCGCGAAACCAGCCTCCTGAGAAAACCCATGAAGAGTGCTGTGAGAGCCCCCCGTGAAAGACCATTGCTGCGGGGGAAAGAAAGAAAGAAAAGAAAAAGGCCAACCGTTTCTGCAACTGGCCAGGGATACCTTTACGAGCTGGCCATGTGGCTAGGGGTTAAAGAGCCCAAGTGCTTCCCTGACCAGTGTGGCTCAGTGGGTTGGGCATCGTCCCGCAAAGCAAAAGATCACCAGTTCAATTCCCAGTCAGGGCACAGGCCTGGGTTGTGCATTCGGTCCCACATTGGGACCGGTACGGGAGGCAACCAATCAATGTTTCTAATATCATTGTTTCTCTCCCTCTCTTTCTCCCTCCCTTTCCCTCTCTCTAAAAATAAGTAAATAAAATCTTTAAAAAAAGAGAGAGCAAGGACCATACTATCAGCAGGGCTGAGGGCTGGGACAGCGCGACCACTTGGCCCCACTTGGCCAGAGCCAAAGAGGAACCCAGGAGAAGCCCAAAGCACTGGCCCTTTCATGGGAGCCCCAACAGGTGCCCACCCAGCCTGTCCCTGGATCGCCTGCACCCGAGCCCCGAGTTCCCTCCTAAGCCCTGCCTCTCCAGGCCACATCCGCCCAGCTATTCTAACCCCAGCCACAGCCTCCCAAACCTGTCCGCTCCCTTCCCCTGCACTACTCTGATCCCAGCCACCGATCACCAGCCTGGAGGTCCACAGGCCTCAGCCTCCCTTCCCTGCCGGCTCCTGGCCCGCTGTCCCAAAATGCACAGTATCTTCCCCGTGTCAGCTCCCAGGGGCTCCGCGAACACCCCCAGACGCACGTCCACCCTCACTCCTCCTTCCAAGGCTCTGACCCTAGCTTCCCTCAGGGCCTCCGCATATGCCAAGCCCTCTGTAGCCTCCCAGGAGGCTGCAGGCCCAGGGGCTACAGGCACCCTCAACCCACGAAACACCTGTGCCCTCTGCCACTTGCGTGACAGTGAAGAAAAGACACGGCCACACCACTTCCAACCCAGCCGCCTGCCTCAGTTCGTCCATCCCCTCCCTCTCTGGTCCAGCCCCCGTGGACTCCTTGTCCCAGCATTTTTTGCACAGCTGAGTCTCAGCCACAACATCAGAGATCACACAAGTCCAGCTTTGGCGAGTTCAGTGTCACGTCTCCAGAAAACCTACACCCTATGCCCAGACGGGCCCTCAACGGATGGGCCTCAGCAACAGGCCTGAGGATGGACACGTGGCCCAAGCCAGCCAAAAGGAAGCACCCCTGAGTCTTGGTCACCAGCCATCACGTGGAGACAGCTTTAACAAAAATAACCAGCAAGAGCAGAGCATCTGGCAAGAACAGAGAAGAAGAGCCAGAGGAAGAGAGAGCAGAGTCTGGAGTGTAGAGGGGCCCTCTGACTCCCAGCACCAGTCATGTCTGAAGCCTGAGAACGCTGGGATGGTTGCAAGCATGTCAGCCCCAAACCTGAGCTGTCTGAGGCTTCTAAGGCCCCTTCCTCGCCCCAGCGCACATCGCCAGCACTCAATTCTCACGGGACTCAAGAAAAGACGCTGGGAATGTGCGCATGGGACAACCAAGGGGCTGAAGGGAGCACGTGGGTTGGTGGCATTAAGAATGGAAGGGCCGGAACGGGAGCTGTTACGGAAAAACAGCTGGTGTCAGTCCACTGAGCCCGGGGACGCCAAGGGTACCCGGCGCTCACGGGGCAGAGCCCACGCGGAGGCTGGAACCAGAAAGGACACAGACCAGACCAAGACCCGATGAGGTGGAAGCGACTCGCTGGGTTGAGGACGGGGGCTGGGGCGAACCCCGAGTCCAGACCAAGGAGGCGCTGGGGACGAGAGTGTCAGGGCGGCTCGCCCAGGCGAGAACCACGGGCCTGGGACGGCCTGCCCAACCCAAATGAGGCCCGACAGGACCATCGAAGCCGTGTCTCCCACTATGTTCCGGGCGGTTACGGCACGTCCTCTCGGTGCCCGGAGAGGTGGGGTCGCGAGAGCCGCTCTCGGACGCGGAAGGCCTGAGGGGCAGAGCCCCAGCCACCCGCGCCCGCCAGAGGGTTTCCGCGGTGACGGCCTAAAATCACGGAACCACCCGACGCCGCTTCCTCCCGCCCTCGGGGGCAGGCCACGCTGTGATTGCAGGGAGGCTGGGCCCACCCACGACGCTCTGCGCGCCGCCGCAGGAACTCGGGACCCAAGCCGAAAGGGGTCCCGCCCCCCCGCCCCCCGCGTCCTCCCCTTCACCGCAGAACTCTGCATAGTTCATGACCTCTCGGGCACAACACATGTTTTGTTAGTTTACCTCAACTAAAATCTTCGCGAGCAGATTGTTGAGGTTTGCGATGGGACACCCCGTATCCTCAGGACAATGCCCGTGGCCTCATCCCAGGCTCTGGCCCGCCGTAATCACCACTCCTCAGTCTGTGACCTCCGGGACCAGGGCCTCCTTTGACCGACTTCTGCCGCGATCTGCAGTAGGGCAAGCGGGCATCGCCGTACCGCTACCGAAGCGACCCGCGTCTGCCCTACTTAAAGATGGAGGCGGAAACGCCCCCTGCCTGGACCCGCGAGCGTTCCCGGAAGTGAGCGAGGGACGACAGCACGAGCGGAAATACTCGAGCCCAGCCGGAAAAACCCGAACTCTATGCCCGAAAGCTGAGCAACGCGGGGCGGGGACGGCGGCAGCGGTGGCTGCGGCTGCGCAGGCGCACAGCGCAGGCCGGGCGGGAAGAGCCGAAGCGAACTGGCGGCGGAAATATCCGAAGTAGTGGGAAGCCCGAGGCCGTTGCGGACCTCCGCGCCGGAGCCGCTGCTGCCGCGGAAGCCGAGCCTAGTCCAGTACACGGCCGCCGCCGCCTCCTTCTACCTCGAGCCGCATCCTCTTCGCGGAGGAAGCGAGAGAACGGGCAAGCGGCGCGACCCAGGGAGTCCGCGTCCGCAGCCGCAGCTGGGCCTGAGAGACCAGAGCGGGCGAGGGGGCGGAGAGAGCGGCTGGGTGGGGGCGGGGCCGAGCGGGCCGAAAACAGCCGAGTCGGCCCGAGCACCGCCGAGCGAGGCCGAGGCGCCTGGCCAGGCCGGAGCCGGACTACGGGAGCCGACGCGGGCCGCGCGGTGGGCGCGGAGCAGCGCGGCAGGCCAGAGGGGCCGCGGCAGCAGAGGAGGAGGCCGCGTCGGCCGGTCCTAGTGGCGGAGGCGGCGCGGGCGGCGGCGGGGGGCCGGGTGGCCGGGGTCCCGGGCCCCGCAACGGCGGCGGCGGCGGCAGCAGGATGATCAAGCTGTTCTCGCTGAAGCAGCAGAAGAAGGAGGAGGAGTCGGCGGGCGGCACCAAGGGCAGCAGCAAGAAGGCGTCGGCGGCGCAGCTGCGGATCCAGAAGGGTAGGGGGTCAGGGGGTGGGGGTGGGGGGTCGGAAGTCAGGGCCTGGGATGGGGCAAAGAGAAAGTCAGGAGTTGGGTAACGCGCTCGCCGGCGGTCAGTGGTGTCAGAAATTGGGGGGCTGTGGATGTGGAGAGTCAGAGGTCAGGGCCTGGACTTTGAGGTGATGGGATCAGAGGTGGGGTAATGCAGTCACCGGGGGGTAAGAGATCGGGGACACAGGATGGGACATTTAGGATAATCAGGAAGTCTGGTATTGGAGGTTGGGGGCAGAGTCTGGGGGTCGGACGAGAACCTGGATGGCAGGAACAGGACATCGGGATAGTGAGGGCCGGATCCTGGGGTTAGGAGTGGGAATGGATTTCGTGTCTTACGCTGAGGTCGCTGGGAATCTGAGACTCAGATGGGATGGAGTAGGTTCTGGTGCCTGGGATTCATGGGCTTTAAGGGTTTGGGTGACAGGTGGAGGAGGAAGGGATGGTGGGTGTTAGGAGAGTCAAGAGTTGTATGGGGGGTCAGAGGAAAACCTGGGTTTGCGATGACAGGTAAAGAGGAGAAGGGAGGGATGGTGGAGACTGGGTATGGGTGAGGGGATGATTTGGGGTATGAACAGCAGGGTCTTTGAGTTTGAGTGGACAGGTGGGGACTAGCAGAGTCCACTAGATAGTGAAAGTCATGGCTGGGGATCCTGGGATTTGGGTTAGTCAGTGGCTCTTGGGGACCACTTGGGAATCTGGACTGTTAGGAGCTGAGTTGGTGGACCTAGCTGTTGGGTACAGGGATTGTGGGCTGGGGGTTCAGAAGAGCTGGAGTTTATTCCAGTGCAGATGCTAGGGCATGTTTGCATGAGTGGGCCATGCTGTGGATCTAGAAGATCCTGCTTGGAGAGTTGGGAGCAGAAAGCAGGGACAGGGTTGGGGATGTGGGGCATAGCCCAGGACAGAGCCCTGGGGTCCTGAAGGAGGCCATAGGGGCTCAGCTGGCATCTATACCTGCTCTGACTACCCTCCTCTCTCATGCCTCTTCCCTCTCTTTGCTCTCTGTGCAAACCCAGACATAAACGAGCTGAACCTGCCCAAGACGTGTGACATCAGCTTCTCAGACCCAGACGACCTCCTCAACTTCAAGCTGGTTATCTGTCCTGATGAGGTGAGGGCACATTTATCCGGACTCCCAGGCACTGGCTGGGCTGTGGCCCCACCTTGAGTAGGGAGACCTGGTTCACCTGCCGGGCCCTGCAGTTTGGGGACCTAAGACCTTCCTCTTCTCTCCCCTCACAGGGCTTCTACAAGAGCGGGAAGTTTGTGTTCAGTTTTAAGGTGAGTCCCAGGTGGGCAGGGGTGGCTCCCTGGGCTGAGGAGGCAACAGCTGAGGCTCCACCCAGGCACTGCCGGGGCACTATCCTCCTCCCCTCTTTTCCTGGAGCCAGGTGGGCCAGGGTTACCCGCATGACCCCCCCAAGGTGAAGTGTGAGACGATGGTCTATCACCCCAACATTGACCTCGAGGGCAACGTCTGCCTCAACATCCTCAGGTGAAGGCACTGGCCCTCCATGGCTCCCCCAGCCCTGCTGGCCGGTCTCCCTCATGGCCTTGTACGGAACCCGTTTCTGTCCTTCCCTCCCGCTGTGGTTTGTGTTGTCTCTTCATTTCCAAGTTTTCTTCCTCGTGGCATGACCTTGACTTCCTGGCCTGTGCTGCTCTGCGCCCTCCCCCCTAGCCTCACATCCACACTGTCCTGTGCCCTGGGCCTGACCTGTCCAGTCAGGCAGCCTCCCACCCACTGGTCCCTGAACCTAATGCTCTCTGCCCACAGAGAGGACTGGAAGCCAGTCCTTACGATAAACTCCATAATTTATGGCCTGCAGTATCTCTTCTTGGTGAGTAGGGGTGGGTGGGTGGGTGGGTACGGCTTGGAGAGGTTGGTCTCCCTGCCGCTTCAGCTCGTTGACCCTCACCCACACTGGCTGCAGGAGCCCAACCCTGAAGATCCACTGAACAAGGAGGCCGCTGAGGTCCTGCAGAACAACCGGCGGCTGTTTGAGCAGAACGTGCAGCGCTCCATGCGGGGTGGCTACATCGGCTCCACCTACTTCGAGCGCTGCCTGAAATAGGGTTGGCGCACACCCACCCCTGCTAGGGCCACCAGCCCCGGCGTCCCCTGCAAATATTTATTAGGGGCCACAGGTGGTAGGCATGGGGCGGCTGGTGGGGGAATCCCATGCCCCAGCCTTGCCTCCCCTTCCTGCCACCCGCTCCTAGTTATTTTTTTTTTAACCACCATGTGATTGAGGTCGGCGCTGCCTCCCCACCCCCCACCCCCGACCTGCTCAGCGATGGGAAATGAATTGGCTTGTCTAGCCCCCTGCTGGGTGCCGTCCAGCCCCCTACTCTGGGCTTTGGGGTAGGCGGCCAAGGGGACTGGGTGGCTGGGGCCCTGCCACCCCATCCCTTCACCACTGGAGGTCCCACCAGGCTATTAAAGGGGAATGTTACTGCATGGCCTCCGCCTCTTCCTTCCATGGGGTTAGAAGGGGCTGCTGATGTCCTTGGAAGCTCCTGCAACAAGAGTGTGGCTTCCTGGCGGGTAAATCAAGCTGGGGGGAAGTTCACACAATCATCGCCGCTGCCCTCTTTTGCCACGGGTGGGCAGGCCAGTGGAGGAGAACCCTGCCTGGTGCAACCAGGTGCCTGCGGTCCATAAACACCATGGAGAGGGTCAGAGACCCCTGAATGAACTGGGCCCTGTAGTGACTTATATGACGGGATGTAGGACCTCCAGGGTGTCTGGGGGAAGATGTCGGAAGTTGCACCAACCTTGCGGGGTCTCGTGCTCCCGGGCGTGACTCTGCTTCCTGGGACGGGACTCGAACCGGTGGACTCCTTGGTTCCTTCCGCGGAGGAACGGAAACTGCTGCGCATGCGCCTGGGCGCCAGTCTGTTGTTGGGTGTGTGCGCACGCGCGCGCTCAGGCCATTTCCCCGCGTTCCGGGGCAGGCGGGGCCTGTGACGTCAGGCCGTTTAATCCGGAAAAGGCGGCGACGGCAGAGACGACAGAACCGGAGGGTTTGTCGTTGGTCGGTGCGCCCGGGAACCGAGCAAGAGGCTCGTAACCCGGAAGCGGAAGCGGGTCCCCGCCCCAGCTTCGGTGAGTGGCCCCTGCCGGGCCTTGGGTCCCGGGTGGGTGCGTGGGCGACCTCGTATGAGGGTATCTTCGCCGGGGCGCTGTGAGCCTCGCTCTTCCCAGGACTGTGGCCTCCCCGTCGGGGTGTGCGCCGCCGCCTTGCTTCCAGTGCGCAGGGCTCCCACCGCCCCCCAGACCCTGGCCTGGGTGGTCAAGTGCCCCACCGCCTGCCCATTCTCTTGTCTTCGGTTTACAGGGTTCCCCGATGCCCCCCAGATGTACTTCCCGCACTGAGGTTCCCACCGCTCTCAGGGTCCCCCAATCCGAATGGCATCCGTACGCTGTCAACTTGGCACTGCGCCTCCATGTACCCTGCCTTCCCATGAGAGGCCCCCAGTAGTGCCCTGACGCTTAGGGTCCCAAATGCCCCAGTGGACCCCCAATCGCCCACCTTCAGTCTCTGTCCAGACAACAGGGCGTCACCCCTGTCTGGAGAGAGGCCGAAGCCTAGAGCCTCCGTGAGGCACTGTGATGAAGAAGGGGCTGGTGTGGGAACGCTGTGATGGCTTTCGGGCCTGGCTATCCCTACTGTGTCCCTAGGGCCCCCACCCCCACCCGGATGTTTCTGGATGCACTGTTTTGGCCTTCCATTCACACCCTCTCTCCCTGTTTTTCCCTCCCCGTCTTGCACAACCCCACCTGCCCCGCCCCTCCATACATGCTGCCTCTTGCCACCTCTCTGGGCCCCATGGCGACCAGAAGCTAGGTTTCGAACTTGTCTCAGGCCCACCGGCGGCCTCCTGCCTCCATGGACCTGTTGTTCGGGCGCCGGAAAACGCCGGAGGAGCTACTGCGGCAGAACCAGCGGGCCCTGAACCGCGCCATGCGAGAGCTGGATCGTGAGCGACAGAAGCTAGAGACCCAGGAGAAGAAAATCATCGCAGACATCAAGAAAATGGCCAAGCAGGGTCAGATGGTGAGCCCAGTGGGGCAGGGGCTGGGACACAGCACTAGGTGCTGTTGCATGGTCAGGCACTGCTGTGACAGCAGCAAGCAGGA